TAAAGTCTGTACCCTGAAACAAACCAGATGAAAACCAACCAGCCTGCATTAGGAAGACCTCAGTGCAGGCTGGGGAAGGTGTTGTTTTGTTCAAGTCAGTAGGTTTTTTAATGAACTTGCGCACCTCTGTGCCCAGCATGGACTTCGGTGCTCTGGGATTACAGAGGTAGTTGAAAGCCCGATGCTACCCTACACGAGCATTCCCTCTCCTCCGACACTGTGGAGGCCAGACCAACGTACAGGAACTGAGGGAAGCCTACATAAGGAGAGCGTGGTAGGATCATGTCAAGTGTGTGGGGGGATGGAAGAGGGTTCAACAGGATGCAAAGATCCATGTGAGATGAATCCTATCAGAACAGGGTTCCAGCTAGCTCATGATGGTGTATCTTCCACATTGTGAACTTGTCACACAAGCTAGGGATTTCAGAAGTAAACTTGGCATACAGGTGAACTCCAAGCTATTATTCACTCATAGTTTCATCCTACCCAATTTTATACTTTACTGCCTCTGCCTATGCACTTAAAAATACATCAAAATATTCATAGATGGGTGGAGAAAGGCCGAAAAATTTTGAAATTAAAAAAATAAAAATACACCATTATAAAAGCACCTCCAAATCCTGATGGGTTTCTAAACAGTTACATGCTCAGACACACATGAACTCACATACTCATAAGCTCTCATTGATTCTCATTTTTTTGTTCTTCTCTCTCCATCTAGCACTCACTGTTTCTCTCCTCTATCTCCAGCAGTTACCAGGAGTTGGAGAAAGGGTAGCACCCAGTTTTCCCTAGCTTTCACCTATCATTTCACAAAAGCACAGGGATGAAGATTTAGAAAACTGGAGGAAGAAGACAAGAACAAGATGATGTGGGGAGGGGAGAGAAAGAGTAGGAGAGAAAGAAAACCAGCTAAGTCAAGCTTCCCATTGTGTGTGTGTGTGGGAGGGTGGTTCTTTGGGAATGCCGATGTCCTTTCCCCAACAGAGCTAAAGAGAATGACGCCCGGATTTTGCAGCAGGGTGAGAGTCCTGCAAAGATAAACTGCTTGACTTGTGGAGAAGCAGGAAAAAAGGAATTATACAATCTCTATTCTGTCATAAATTTCAGTCATTAGTTTTTTTTCCTTTTTTTTTTTTGAGTTGGAGTCTCACTTCATTGTCCAGGCTGGAGTGCAATGGCATGCTCACAGTCCCCCAGCCTCGCCCTGCTGGGCTCCAGCGATCCTTCCGCCTCAGCCTTCCAGGTAGCTGGAACTACAGGGGCTACCATACCCGGCTAATTTTTTGATTTATTGTAGAGACGAGGTCTCGCCATGTTTCCCAGGCTGTTCTTGAGTTCGCCGGCTCAGGCAATCCTCTTGCCTCAGCCTCCCAAAGTTCCGGGAATACAGGTTTGAGCCACCGCACCCAGCCTGTTTTTCTTAGTTTAATTTTTCATGGATATAACTTGTTCTCGAACATTAGGCTGACTCTAGCACCAAGTGAAATGAGGAGTATGTTTTTGGAAAAGTCCTTTACTAGTTGGTGAACATAGATGCCTTCTTGGTATCTGTAACAATTCTAACTTAGCTGGAACACAGGAGTGCCCAGATATTTGGTCAAACATTATGCTGGATATTATTGTGAGGGTGTTTTTGGATGAGATTTACACTTAAATTGGTGGACTTTGATTAAAGCAGAGTGCCCTCCCTAATATAAGTGGGCCTCATCCAATCAGCTAAAAGCCAAAATAAAACCTCTGACCAATCAGCTAAAAGCCTAAATAGAACTTCTGACCTCCCCAGAGCAAAGGGGAATTCTTTTGCTGACTATTTTAGACTTTGTTGGCGACATTGGCTCTTCTTGGTTGTCTAGCAAACAAGTTTTGCACTTGAACTGCAACACTTTTCTGAGCAGGCCTTTCCTATCAGATTTTGGACTTGTCAGCCTTCATAGTTCCTTAAATATCTCTTGCATCTATCTATCTATCTTATCTATCTATCTATCTATCTATCTATCTATCTATCTATCTATCTATCTATCTATTTATCATCTATCTATCTACCTACCTACCTACCTACCTACCTATCTATCTCATATACACATATACACCTATTTCTCCGTAGAGCTCTGACTAATCAGCATTCTGTAAACTGGCAAGCAAGGCTGGACTATAACAGGTGTGTTCATACTTTTTCTTTTCCTTTTTTTTCAATTGGAGTCTCACTGTGTCCCCCAGGCTGGAATGCAGTCACACGATCACAGCTACTGCAGCCTTTACCTGTTGGGCTCAGACAATCCTTCCGCTTCAGACTTCCAAGTAACTGGAACTACAGGTACGCCCACCACACATAGTTTATTTTTTTGATTTGTTGTAGAGACGAGGTCTCATCAAGTTGCCCAGGCTGGTCTCAAACCTCTGGGCTCAGGCAATCCTCCCACCTCAGCCTCCCAAAGCGCTGGGATTACAGGTATGCTCCCAGCTGTTCATGCCTTTTCTCATTGGCATCATAACCAAGAAGCGTGAACTAAAGTACCTGAGAGCTCTGGATCTTAAATCAGTGGACCTGGTTCATGTGTGAACTATTCCTTCCTAGTACTGTGCCCTCAATAAGTCACCTAACCTCCAGAAACAATGACCCAGATAACCAGAGCATTGCCAACCCCCGATGTACTTGTTTTCTTTTGCCATTGTAACAAGTTACCACACATCCTGTACTTCAAACAACATAAACTTATCTTACATTTCTGCAGGTCAAATCAAGGTGTTGGGCAGCCTTCCTGAAGGCTTCAGCGGAGAATCTGTTTCTTGCTTGTCTCAGTTTCTAGAGGCCACGTGCATTCTTCGGGTCATGGTCCCTTCCTCACATTCCTCCACATCTCCTACTGATATAGAGACCCACTAATGTCTGTCCATATTGCCACAGCCCTTAGACAAGGGCATGGCAAGGGTTCAAGTGCTCCTGAACATTCCTGAACAATATTCCTGAGAGTCCCCTTATCTCCTGTGCACTCCCAGTTAGTAGCTTCAGGGGATCCTTGACTTCCCTGCAGACTATGCCCAGTCAACTGAAAGATGCAAATCCTCGTTTACTCCCTTTTTTCTGAGTAGTAGTAAGTTTGAATAATATAGTTTCGATGTAATCGTAAACCTTGTGATTTGTGTAACTTTTGTAGCAATGTAATCATAAGTTTTGTGATTTGTATAACTTTTGTGTAATGCATGTAGGCCTTGTAAACTCCCTTTACTCTATCGTGAGCTCGATTAACACCTCTGTCAGGCCCTACTGATAAAAGCTATGAGATATCTCTGATAGCTGGCACCAGGAATTCTGGAGCGAAAAATGTTACTATCGATCAATGTGGTTGAAACTCAAGTTCTATACAATGTTCTGTTGGTCACATGGCTAATATATAGATACTAACAACTCTCGACTTACTGAACCACAAAAGCCTGGGGGGTGAGCAGAACCATTTCAGAAAGACCTTGAGTCTGGCTCTGGATTCGAACTCAGAAATAAACTTCTTTTGACCAGTCCCTGCTCCTTTGATTTATTGGTATCAAGGGAGAGCAGCCAAGCATTACTTGGACCATAACACTCCACTCCTTTTATCTCCTGCCTCCCCCTTATAAGGAAGGACCCTAGTGATTACATTGGGCCTACCCAGATAGCCCAGGGTTATCTCCTCCTGTCAGTATCCTTAATCACATCTGCAAAGTCTCTTCTGACATGTAAAATAACATTTGCACATTTCCAGGATTAGGATGTGGACATCATGTTGGTGGCGGTGGTGAGGGGTATGATTCCACACACCACACCTGGTCAGAGGTAATTGGTTACAGCTGGAGGATGAGCTGTGGAAAGGATTCTAAGATTTCAGAGTTGGTGTACTTGAAACCATTTTATTTTTTGGAAGAGTACTCGATTAGATGGTGAATGTAGAAGTAGCATCAAAGAAGTGCTTTCTTGGTTCCTATAGAGACAAACTTGTTAATGTATTTTTCTTTAATAGTCTCAATTCTGCTCCTAGATTCATCACACAATAAATCTTCCCCACTTCAAAAAATTAATATAAAAATGTTTTTAAAAGTTTAATATTGTAATCATTTAAGTATACAGATCTGTGGGGTTTGTGCCCTGGCAGATTCATCACATGTTCTATCCAGACTACTGTTAGTGATCTTGGGCAGGAATTAAAACCTTTTTGAGATGAACCCTGAGAACCTTTCTCAACACATTTATTTCAAGTATCACAAATCTGTGTCATCATTTATATTCTAGAATATGGCATCCCAATGTAAGTTCTAGAATTGTTGTGTCGTTAACACGTTGAGTACAGTTTCTGAGAATGTCACTTTCAATGCTTTCCCCTTGGCATGGATAACTTTAGTGACACTTCGGGCCTTTCTTTTTGGTGTATTGCTGTATTTGGGTGCTCAGGACACTGCCATAACTTTGCTAGCTCTTAGCAGAGAAAATTTAGTTTTGACTCCATAGGAAGGAAGAACATTGAAAAAAAATCAGTTTTCAAAAATCATCCTGATGCTCAATTCAGTTCAACAATTGTTGGGGAGTCCATAATAATTGCAGTCATCCAGTGAAGACTCATGGTCTGAGCCTGATCTGATGGACAAAAAGATTCCCCTAATCTTGGGCACCCCAGGCTTGCTTACTCCTCTCTGGTGGCAGCACTCTCCTAGGGCGTTTACCTGCAGTCAGGCTCAAGGACTTCAAATCAATACTGGAGACTTGGTGTAGAACTCAGTCAAGGATGATTTATTGCCCCCACTCCAAGGATGTTTTACTATATGCAATTATGCTTCCCCCCTTCCTCTTTTTTCTTCTTAACTCTAAAATATTATCATTGTTTATCTATTTGGGATCGATTTGGGTTCAGTCAATTCAGTTCCCTTTGTTGAAGTATTCCAGTCATTTCAAGCCTTGTCAGAGATCCTTGGTTCTGTTTCTTCCCTGCTTGTTTCTCTTTACTTCTTTTCTTTTCAGTTGAAGTTTGACTTTACTGACAGAAGGATATTTTCTTTTTTTCCAGCTTTGAATGAATTGCCACCATGGCAAAAGAGGCCAACCATGTAATGGATTCTGTCACTGTATAGGCAAGACCTAAGAAAAGGCTACTACCTCCACTTCATGTGGGGGTGGAAAGCACAACTGATTTTTCTCCGTGGAACCTGGTTACTGGAAAGTCTAAGAAGACACGTTAAGGATCTGTTTCAATACATCTTATCTCTGCATATGCTAAATTTGTTAGATTAAGCCATATAAAATATTATTTTTTTGTAGGTAAAAGATGGTTGAATATTTAATTTCATATGGTTAAACCAAATCTTTACCAAACAGTCCCCTGTATCTTGCTGGAATGAAATTAATTAAACAAGCCTTCCCTCTACATAGGTGTAATCTACAAAAGATATTCTGACACAGATCTGAAAGACTTACAGACAACTGAATACAGATTAAATATATTTAATTCCCTTTGGCAAACCCAAGGAAATTAAAAGAATACAGATAGGTTTTTACAGCAAACTTAAATTTTTATATACGCATCAGGAGACCTAGGGTCAGCTGTGGTCCATTTGTAAGCTATGGTTTGAACTCCTTCCTCAGGGAAAATTCTCCAAGGGGAGTGAATAATGATAGTAGTAATAATAATAATAATATAGATGGAAAAACATTTTTGATGGGAGAACTAAAGGTAGCCCACTCATTGAGTTTTGAAAAGGCCAGCCTCCCCTACTGCTGGGGAGAAAGTATTTGGAGTTCATTTGCTATCGTTAGCATTTTAATGATGTCATTTTGATTATGCATGTGGCCTGAGGTTTTTAAACATCTGGTGCCTTTTGTAAACCAAAATAATAAACAAACAAAAGCTTCTCCTAGCAACGGCACTGGACAGAGGCATTTCTCAGCAAAGCTATTAAAGGGCCTCAGATCACTTGGCAACAAGCTGTTTAAAGGCACAAGGAAACTAGTCCTCTCTTTGACATCGGAATTCCTTATTGTCACCAGGTCCTTGGGTGCCACCTCAACCCATCTGCCCCTTTCTTCCCTCCCTCAGTTCTGTTTGAGAGGGTCTTTTCTTCACACAGAGCATCTTTTTTCCCTCAGAAGTGGTGGCCTTTTCTTAGTCTGGTTGGATAATACTCACACTAGGGCTATCCACAGGTAGGGTAAGTATAGGGCTAAAGCTCAGAGTGATCAGCATTAAAACATGACTGCGAATGAAGTCACCCAGGACGGTATGTCCAGACAGAAGAAATGGAGTGTCTTCCTTATCTGGAGCATCGCTCCCCTTCCTCATCCCTCCACCCCTGTTACACTCATCCTGATGCATTGTGGGACAGCAGTGTATGCTGTTTTTTCCTTTTCCTTCAATGCAACTATGACTGCTTTAGTGGTGAGACAGTCACAAAGTTGACAGAATCAGGAGACCCAAGTGTCAAGCAACTTTCAATCTCCTCTTAAATTGTTTTGAGAGAGAGAGGGGTTTGCTGAAATTCCTGTTCTAAGGGTTTACTCTCTGATTGTACCTATCATACGCCACAAGACAGGTAATTTGTGACTTCTATTTTTGTAGAATAGAATTAGAGACCCTGCAAACAGAACTAACTGAAGGTAAGCCAACTCCTGGTCAGTACAAAAGGAGACAAAAAACAGAGATAGGTCACGTCGGTGGCGACTTTCTGACTGAGGAACATCCCCACACTCCTGTCAGAATGGAAATGTCCACACTCCTCCTCTAAGATAGAAAAGAAGAAAAGAGGAAGCAGGGACTCCAAGTGCATGCAGTCGTTCACTTTTCCCCAATAATTCTTTATTCAACCTCCCTGAGAGGTAAAGAAACTATGGAGGTGGACAATTTTGTGTCAAAACTGGCCTGCTATGGGTCCCACCAAGTAACTCCTAACCAGGAGCCCTGCAATGGTACAAATGGGGCTGAAGTGTCAGAGCTGTGTACAAGCCCTGGAAAGATTCTGCCGTCAAGAGAATTCTGCCTCAGGGAGAATTAGAAGGAGACTTGAAAATTAGTCTAAAGACCAGAGTTAGCATCAGTTGTATCTAAATATATAATGTCTTTTTTTTTTTTTTTTTTTTTTGAGTTGGAGTCTCACTCTGTCGCCCAGACTGGAGTGCAGCGGCCACTCCCGGCCACCGCAGCCTCGAACTGCTGGGCTCCGGCAATCCTTCCACCTCAGCCTTCCAAGTAGCCGGAATTACAGGCATGCGCTACCACGCCCAGCTCATTTTTGATTTATTGTAGAGATGAGGTCTCGCTGCCCAGGCGGGTCTCGAACCCGCGGGCTCAGGCAATCCACTCAACCTCAGCCTCCCAAAGGCGCGGGATTACAGGCTGAGCCACTGAGCCCGGCTATATAGTGTCTTTTAAAGGTAGTGTTTGGTGTCATGTTAAAGGTAAATCCTTTTTGTTTTAAATCAAGAGTTACACCTGTATTTTTAAATTAAGTGAAAAAATTCAGACTTTCATATTAAAGCATATGGCTCCTAACCTGGACTACATGTCCTTAAGGCACCAACTCCCATGGGCTGGCTTTGTTCCTAAGGGAGGGAAGAGCACAGGCAGCATCTTTAGAGCAGAACTTGCAGCATGCTTTATGAGGGTTTAGATTAACTGGACCTTCCCCTTGATCCCAGGGCTCCTGTGGTCTTTGATAATTTCACCCAGAACAAAAGGTCCTCTACAGTCTCTCTCAGTTTGATTTTTAGTCTACACTCCTCGTTTTCTTCTTATCACTCCTCTTTCTCTTTATTTTCGTGATCCTCCACTCATCCCATCCTATCTGGCATGCTTCTCCTCATTGATTTATTTCTCTAGGCTCAGTGTTATTTAATTTTTCTTGGGGGACAGAAATAGTTCTTCTCTTCTTATCCATACCACCTTACCTGATACTGCTATTAACTGTTATTCTTTTTTTTTTTTTAAATGGATGCTTTTAAATATATAACATGGAGACAAACAGCTACATGGCGATGGAATGACAGTTGAGAGGAATTCAGGACATGCCATCCCAAAATATGCCACTTTGGCATATTGGTTATTTTGAGCTAAAGGCACTTGAAAAACAGTAGGTGCAAGAAGGATATTCTGCTCTCTCCTTTTCTTCTCGAAAGCAGGAGATAAAACTCCCCTGTGGAAAATGTCCTTCTAAACAAGGAGAAAAGAAACATTTCTATTCCCGAGTTAGGGAGTTGGGGTGGAGTGAAAAAAAAAAAACAACCTTGTTTAACTAACCCTTGTTTTCCTAGTTACTTCTTTATAACCATTTTTCTTGTAAGGGTTCCTATGTGCATGTAAATGAAATTCATGCGCTCTTTTCTCTTGGTAATCTGTCAGCCCCAGCTGGAGCCCCTAGAAGGCTATAGGAGAATTTTTTCTTCCCTTACACATTTCTTTTCTTATTTTTTGTATATAGATTTTATTGAAAAGTAGAAAAGTATAGGGTGAAATAATTCAACAACCAGTAGCCAGATTTTCTTTCATTCCCGTGAAGAAAAGTGATATAAAAGGATACTATAGGTTATGTTGAAGCTGTAATTACCAGCAGGCAAGGCTTCCACAAAATTGTGTGTTCGATTGAGTCGGCGGTAGAGTTTTTTGAAAGTGGGAAAGGCAGCTGTTTGCATCCATACAATGTAGTCATCATTGAGAAAACCATTGTTTCTTAAATCCTCTTCATCCAACTCATAGATAGGCTTAGGCCAGTTTGGAGGCTTGGTGGTTCCTGCAGGAAGAAAATAAAGGATATGGTAGAACAAAATATTTATCGTCTTCAGTTTTCCTCAGAATTTAGAGAATGACAGAAATCATGCATTCTTGAGGAAATAGAAATTAGACTTATAAAAAAAATTGTATATGTGTATGTGTGCATGTAACCTACCAGAGTATGCAACCATTAAATAGAATGGTTTTACCTTGGAAAAACTCTTCTAGACATCAGTCTAGGCAAAGAATTGGTGGTTAAAGCCCCAGAAGCAGATGCAACAAAAACAAAAATAAACAAGTGACACTTAATTAAACTAAAAAGCTTCTACACAGTGAAATAAATAATCAACAGAGAAAATAGCCTACAGAATGGGAGAAGATATTCACACACTTTACATCTGACAGAGGACTAATATACAGAATCTACAAGGACTCAAACACATCAGCAAGAAAAAAGCAATAACCCCGTACAAAACTGGGCAAATGACATGAACAGACATCTCTCAAAAGAAGATATAAAAATGACGAACAAAAATACACAAAAATGCTCAACATCACTTATCACCAGGGAAATGCAAATTAAAACCACAATGAGATACCACTTATACCAGTTAAAATGGCCATTATTAAAAAAATCAGAAAAACAATAAATGCTGATGCAGATGCAGAGAAAAGGGAATGCTTATACCCTGTTGGTGGGAGTGTAAATTAGTACAACCTCTATGGAAAGTGGTATGGAGATTTCTCAAACAACTAAAAGTAGATCTACCATTTGATCCAGTAATCCCACTGGACCTAGGTGTCTACCCAAAGGAACATAGGTTGTTATATAAAAAAGACACCCCTGCCCCCATGTTCATCGCAGTACAATTTACAATGGCAAAGATGTGGAATCAACTTAAATGTCCATCAGTTAGTTGATCAGTGGATAATGAAAATGTGATATATATGCACTGTGGAATACTATTCAGCTATCAAAAACAATGAAATATTGTCTTTTGCAGCAGCTCGGATGGAAATGGAGAACATAATCCTAGGTGAACTAACTTAGGAACAGAAAACCAAATGCCATGTGTTCTCACTTGCAAGTGGGAGCTAAACTAAGGATATGCAAAGATAGAGAATGGTATCATGAACTGGATGCAGTGGCTCACACCTGTAATCCCAGTACTTTGGGAGGCTAAGGCAGGAGAATTGCTTCGGCTCAGGAGTTCAAAATCAGCCTGGGCAACATAGTGAGAACTTGTCTCTCTAAAAAATTAGCTTGAGCTCAGGAGGTTGAGATTGCAGTAGCCATGACTGTGCCACCACACTCTATCCTGGGAGTCAGAGTGAGACCCTGACTAAAAAGGGCAGGGGAGGTGGAGAATGGTATAATGCATACTGGAGACTCAGAAGAGGAAGGGGGATGGGGTGGAGGGACAAAAATCATCTATTGGGTACAGTGTGCACAGGTGGGTGCACTTAAAGCTCAGACTCAAACTATTTTTACCTCCCAAAGCTCTTGAAATAAAATAATAATAATGGGTTTAAAGATTCTAAGGAGGGGCCAGGTGGGGTAGTTCATGCCTGTAATCCCAGTGCTTTGGGAGGCCAAGGCAGGAGGATCGTTTGAGACCAGCCTGGGCAATATAGTGAGACTCTATTTCTACAAAAAATAAAATTAGCTGGGCATGGTGTGCATGCCTATAGTCCCGGTTACCTGGGGAGCTGTGGCTGGAGGATTGCTTGAGCCCAGGAGTTCAAGGCTGCAGTGAGCCATGATCACACCACTGCACTCCAGCCTGGGTGACAGAAAAAAAAAAAGACTCTAAGGAAATGCTCATGATATTTTCAGTGGGTTAAACAAAAAGAGCAGAATATCAAATTATATGTATACTATGTCTTCAACTATATTAAATGCATATAAAGATCATGGTGGTTGCATTCAGTGATAACATGGGAAATATCTTTATTAAATTTCACTAGCAACCTAAGGAGAGCAAATTAAAACAAGATACTATTTTCATCTAAAAATTGGGTAATTTTTTTAAAGTGACAATCATTGATAAGGCAGTTGAAATGGGAGCTCTGGGACAGAGCAGACATGTAAATCCACATCATATCTGACAAGCTAGGAAAATACATGGAAAGCTTTCACATTTCACATTACATTTTGGCCCAGAAATTCTACTAGAAATGTATTCTAAGGTGATAGTCATGAAAGTGCATGAAGATTGCATAGATGTTCACTGCAGCACTGCACCTAAGAGCTCCAAGCTGGAAGCAAGGAGGAGGGATTGGCAGGTGGGGGGAGGTGGTGAGCAAAGGCATTGTAAGCCTGTTCTAAAGGCAGGAAGTCTGGTAGGGTTGAAAGCTGTAGGAGGAATGTTGGAAGCACAGGCTGGAGGGTGGTGTCATCAAGATGAACTTGTTGAATTTGCCCTCATTCTCACACTTCCACGTTACAACCCAGGGCACGTCTGTCTCTCGCACCCTGTAAGAGAGGGGTTCCCTAACTCCCGGGGCCATGGAATGGTACCAGTATGTGGTCTGTTAGGAAGCGGCACACACAGTAGGAGGTGAGCAGCAGGTGAGTCAGTGAAGCTTCATCTGTATTCATAGCCACTCTCCATCGCTGGCATGACCGCCTGAGCTATGCCTTCTGTCAGATCAGCAGTGGCATTAGATTCTCATAGAAGTGCAAACCCTACTGTGAACTGCGTATGCAAGGGATCTAGGTTGTACACTCCTTACAAGAATCGATTGCCTGATCATCTGAGGTGGAGCTGAGGCAGTGATGCTAGTGCTAGTGAGTGGCTGCAAATACAGATTAACATCAGCAGTGAGGTTTGATTGCACAGAAACCATAATGAATAATTACTTGCAGACTCCTATCAAAACCCTATTAGTGAATGGCAAGTGAGTTGATGTATTTCAGCAGTACAGCTGCAACTGGTGGCAGGCTTTAAGTCTTAAGCTTTAAGAATCTGACACTTATTTTAGTCTGCATGTTACCCGCCCATTATTTTATTTACCACTTACATCGCGCCTCTTCCCTGCACTGCACACTTGTCTCTGTCACAGTTTTGGTAAGACCACAAGCTAACCCTAGCCAGAATGAGTAAAAAAACAAACATCACTGGAAAGCATCTTTGAAAGGGGAGGAAGATCCCTTTGAAAGGGGAGCAGACGTGGATTTATATGTCTGCTCTGTCCAACTACATTCAAAACCAAACTGGAGTTATGGGGGGAATGAGTAAACATTGGGATTTTGATGAGACAACAGAAAATGCTAAGATTGCCAACAAAAAGAAAGCTGCATTTAAAACACCAAGAATCAGCTGGGCTTGGTGGCTCAGCCTGTAATCCCATGCCTTTGGGAGGCCGAGGTGAGTGGATTGCCTGAGCCCGTGGGTTCGAGACCCGCCTGGGCAACTTGGCGAGACCTCATCTCTACAACAAATCAAAAACTGGCCGGGCGTGGTAGTGCGTGCCTGTAGATGCAGCTACTGGAAGGCTGAGGCGGAAGGATCACCGGAGCCCAGAAGGTGGAGGCTGTGGTGGCCGGGAGTGGCCACTGCACTCCAGTCTGGGTGACAGAGTGAGACTCCAACTCAAAATAAAATAAAAGAAAATAAAGAAAATATAATAAAAAAAATAAGTAAATAAAACACCAAGAATCCTACTTAAATTACAGGTTTATTGCAACAGGTGAATCACATTCTCCGAGCCCACTTTGCACAATATGTGATGACCGGTTATCTGACGAAGCCATGAGACGTTCAAAACTGTTTCACCACATAGATACTAAATACCCAGTATTAAAGATAAGCCTTTAGAGTTTTTCGGAAGGAAAAAAATGAAAACACAAAGAACAGAAGCAATTATTGAAGGCCATCACTTAATCAGATGTCTCTGCACCTAGAAGCATCATTCTTAGCGGCTAACCACATTGCTAAAGCTAAGAAGCCCTTTACTGTGAAGAGTTGATCCTGCCTGCTGCTGAGGACACTTGGCGTGAACTTTTAGGAAAGGCTGTGGTTCAAAAGGTGGTACATTTTCCTCTTTCAGCTAGCACCATAACTAGATGAATTGAGATAGCAGAAGATATTGAGGCCCAAATGTTGAAGAGGATTAATCAGTCATGGTATGCAATCCAGGTTAACGAATCTACCGATATTGACAGCAAGGCAATGAATCCTTTTTGTGTGATATATTTTTCAGGAAGATGCACATGAGGATATGCTATGTGTACTTTTATTACCAACCCATACCACAGCTGCAGAACTCTTCGAGTCTTTGAATGATCGCATATGAGGAAAACTGAGATGGTCATTTTGGGTTGGTATGTGCACGGATGGAGCGGCTCATGTCACACTCTGTCATCCACAGAGAAATGCTGGCTAGCCAAAAAATGTCATCTGAGCTTAACAACATTTTGGAGTACGTGATTAAATTTTCAAGCACGTTAAAATACATGCCCTTAACTCACATAAAGTGGCTACATTCAAAACTAAACTGGAGTTATGGGGGGAATGAGTGAACATTGGGATTTTTGAAATGTTTCAAATATTAGCAGAGATTTTGAAAGAGACTGAACCAGGGTCTCCTTTTTCCCAGCTGGCGAATGATCACCTATCTCAGCTTTCAAAAGAGTTTGAGCATTACTTGCTAACCACAAAAGACCCCAGAATGGGGAAGGAATGCAGTTTGTTTTGTGGGTCATCACATCAGAATCACCCAAGGTGCTTGTTAAAAATACAACTTCGGCCAGGCACGGTGGCTCACGCCTGTAATCCCAGCACTTTGGAGGTGGAGGTGAGAGGACTGCCTGAGTCTAGGGGTTCAAGACCAGCCTGAGCAACTTGGTGAGACCTTTTCTCTACAATAAATCAAAAAATTAGTCAGGTGTGGTGGCGTGCACCCATAGGTCCACTACTTGGAAGGCTGAGGCAGAAGGATTGCCTGAGCCCAGCAGGTTGAGGCTATGTTGGCTGTGAGCATGCTACTACACTCCAGCCTGGACAACAGAGTGAGACTCTGACTCAAAAAAATAAAAATAAAAATAAAAAATAATAATAAAAAGTATGCCCTGCTCTATCAATTTCAAATCTTATCTCATCCATGTCTCCAGAGAATATGAGCAGTATGGTCCAAAATATAGCAACTTCTTTTATTTTCCAAGGAGTTGGGTCATTTGTATTCATCCATTCATTCAACAGTAAGCATTTCTTTTTTTTCTTAACTATATATTTTTTATTTTAAAATTGTGGGGTACAGTTAAGGGTTAGGTATACAAATATGCATTGTGCAGGTACCCTTGTTGATGAGGTGTCGCCCCCCCATCCCCAGACAGATATCGATTACTGTTAATTCCATCTCCCTTCCCCTCCCTGCCCCACCCCATAGTTTCCTGTCACTGTCAATCCTTTCCTTATAGTATTACGATAGTTGTTCAAGGTCCACTTATGAGTTTCTTGATTGTCACTGGCACCGTGAATACAAAAATGCATAAGACCCGATCTACTTCCTTGAGGAATTACAGACTAAAGTGAATGTGACAGGTATGTAAACAGATATTTATTTAGAGTACAATGTGGTCACTCTTACAATAGAGGTAAGAACAAAGTGCAGCGGATAAGAGAAAGCCAAAGACCCTTTGTGTTATAGACCTGTGGTTAGGTGGTAAGATGAAGCAACAGAATGTTGCCACGTTTCTTTCAAAAACTAGCAATTTAAGCATAGACACAGTGACCATACATAACAGTTTGCCTAGGACAGTCCCAGTTTATGTCTGTTAATTATCATCCCATCTGATTTAACCATTTAGCCCAAACAAATAATTACATATATTTCATCCTTCCAGCATCCAGCTATATTAGCTAGTAGTGTGTGAGATACCCATGCGCAGTGAATGAAGCGCTTATATTATACAAAAGACAACCAGAAACCTTTTGAGTCCAACATTGTAAAACAAATCCCTGTGACCCCTGTCAGCTGTTTAACATTCCACCCAGATAGGCCATATTTTCTGACTTGGCCTATGAGGTGTGAAAAGCTGTCAGGTTGCAAATCAGTGGGGTCATTGAGAAATGTGGGAAATTATAGGTTAGGTTATGTGTACACAATGCATCTGTGGCAAATAGGTGCTGAGCAGTTCTGCTGAAAGTAGTTTGAATTCTCTTGCAACAGTGGTTTTGTTATTTGTTATATAGTGTAAATATATAGCTGTAGTATCAGCTTTTTATTTGCTAATAAATAATTTTAGCTGTGAAAAGCTTAAAAAGAAAATATGCATGTTTAATATAATTAAGTACAGTTTTTCAAGAAAGATGATGAATGTGATACTTGTATTTATCCCTCACTGTGGGAACCATCGTGATATCAAACGATCTTGTGAAAATAAAAAAAAGTAAAAAAAAATACAAACTGCTGAAGAACATCAGAATCTACTTTAAAAACTTATGGCAATTTTTAGAAGATTGTATCCAAAGACAATGTTTTAACTTATATAGCTATAGCATGTCCATTTATATATTATTCTGTGAGCATGACTTTTCATTTAGATCCAATGGATTTCCTTCTAGTTTCATTTTTCTTTTCTTTCTTTTTTTTTTTGTTAACCAAATAAAAGCTTTTAATGTGTTGGCTCCATTAGCACGAAAAGAACTCTGTAGCCCGTTAAATGAGGTAAATTAAAGAGTGGATGTACATGGTGATCAGATAATTATGTCAAATTTCTAACAAATTTTGAACTTGGATTCCTCAGGAAATCAAAGCAAAGCTGTTAGAAGTTCAGTCTTTGAAGATGAAACCTCTGGCATTATTATAAAGGTTACTATAGATTAAGTTACAAAATGATCAAGCTTAAGTTGTTTGATTTTGTGGTGATAACACAACTGCAAATTTTGTGGAGTACAACAATGGCGTAAAGATAATGCTCTTAGTAAATTGAGAAATTGGCAGAGAAGAGATGTACTTAAAATTGGTTGTGATAATACACAATTTACAATTCTGTCTAAGCAAGGAACAATATTTTATCAATCAAAAGGAGCCATAAGCGGGCTTGGTGGCTCAGCCTGTAATCCCGCGCCTTTGGGAGGCTGAGGTGAGTGGATTGCCTGAGCCCGCTGGTTCAAGACCCGCCTGGGCAGCGAGACCTCATGGCTACAATAAATCAAAAAATCAGCCGGGCATGGTAGCGCATGCCTGTAATTCCGGCTACTCGGAAGGCTGAGGCGGAAGGATCGCCGGAGCCCAGCAGGTCGAGGCTGCGGTGGCCAGGAGCGGCCACTGCACTCCAGTCTGGGCGACAGAGTGAGACTCCAACTCAAAAACAAAACAAACAAACAAACAAAAACAAACAAAAAAGGAGCCATAGTAGTGAAAATACATATAGTTTTGTATATTCACAGTTAGAAAAACTGAGTTTTCAACCACAAAATTTTTATGATGACACAGATGTTAAGTTAAACAATTCAACATGGTAGCATATGAGGTATGTGGTCTCTCTTTGTTGAATATTACCGTCCAGAATTTTAGAAAGGCTTGAGCCTTTAAAGAACTTTTTTGTATATCAGACAATGCCTACCACCATCTTGACCTTTTTCTGTAAATGAGTCTTCTAACTTTGGTTGTATTTTGCTCAAAATAGTTGAAAATCTTCAAACACAGCATCTGAAATACTGACTGTCGAAACACTTTAACTTTTGAGGATTTAGTGAATTATAATTACTGAAAACAAACCTTACAAACAAGAAGACATTGAAATTTACCCCTATAAAAGCAAGGAAATAATTGAACATATTGCATAATGGGAGCTCAAAATGTGTATAGGATTTAATTTTTAAATTTTGTAGTTAGACTGTGGAATGTCTCGACTTATGTGAAGACTCTTTTGACAGTACTCCTATTTTAAATTTAATTTAAAATGTTCTATACCATAATGAAATAATACTGATAAAAGTCTAGGATTATGCAGCATTTAAATTTAGTAATACATTAGAAGAATTAAAAACAGAAAAAGTTTATGTGAAGTAAAAACAAACACTACTCAAGACAAAATTTGGGTTAAAATACTAGCATATTTCAATACAAAAAAATTGAAGCCGAGAATATCCTTCATTTCATAAGATTGGCTGTTAGTGTAACAAGTACCTCAGCATCTATGGAGTGTTTTCTCAGTTAAAAATGTTAGGGTTGGCTGGGCGCTGTGGCTCATACCTATTATAATCCCAGCACTTTGGGAGGCCAAGGTGAGAGGATTGCCTTAGCCCATAGGTTCGAGACCAGCCTGAGCAACTTGGCGAGACCTCATCTCCACAATAAATCAAAAAATTAGCTGGGTGTGGTGGCGCGTGGCTGTAGTTCCAGCTACTTGGAAGGCTGAGGCAGAAGGATTGCCTGAACCCTGCAGGTCAAGGCTATGGTGGCCTTGAGCATGCCACTGCACTCCAGCCTGGGTGACAGAGTGAAATTCTGACCAAAAAAAAAGAGTCAAATGAAAAGAACCATTTAAAATTATCAACAATTTCAAATTGATTAACCATAAGATACAACTTTTAAAAAGGTTGCAGATAATTTTGTGAAAAAATTAAAAATAACGAGGCCATGGTAAAAAGAATAAATTAATTAGAAAAATACAGATTTATGTAATAAAGATTACTATGGCCAAGAAAACTGATTAAGTGAATATGTATGCAAAATGATTATTCTGCTTACATTATCTTCTAATGTTCAGATAATTGAAATAGTTTTTTTAAGTTGGTTTAATGTAATATAAATGCTATTTTAGTTTTTGAAAGAACTGCATTTTTGAAAATAGTTTTTAATAGAATTATTTTATAGGTTCACCAATATATGTCAATTTATTGATCAATAAATAAAATTTTCAAATACATATATAGCTAGTTATTTTAGTATACCAGTTTGAGTGAAAAATTACATGGTAATTCTAATTATAGCTGACACAACATGCTTTTTAAAACATTACCTTCTTAGTTTTGGTAAACTGGAAGGAACCAGGGCAGTGATCATTTCATGTTTTTTGAAAGGTATACAATGGAGACGGCCATGGTAGGGAAAGTTATAGCAAAAAGGAGTCAACAAGGAGATAATGAACAAGGACTCATAAATATCTCTCCACATACACAGAATAAAGTTTTTATAAAGAGATAGGAATATTTAGCTACTGTGGATCTTACCTTCAAATTGATAAGATTTCTGAAAGTTGGATTCTGAAATTTGATATACATATCTGTCCACCATGTAAGTCCAGTCTTTAGCATTGGGTCTTTGATTTGTATAGATGAATTAAGGTTATATGAAAGAATTATGGTGTCTGTAAGGAAATTAAAAATTGTGTTAAAGATGCAAGCTAGCAATTTTGCCACCCTTTGAAATGCAGACCCAGACACAGCTGAAAAATAAATCAGGGCTTTTGCAGACTCTCAACACGCCCACATGCCATAGATGCTGGAGTCACAAGACCATTCTTTTTCCTGCCAAGGTTGAGCCAATTACTGAAAAATACTCTTAAGCTCCATTTAACTCATGTTCCCTGACTATTCCTTCAGCTTTCTGGCAGGGGAGAACTTATTTGCAAATGAAATACCGTAAGTCAGTGTTCTGGCTTAGCCAGGATAATATTTACAGAGTTTTTTTAAAACTGCCACTCAGCTGCAGAGGTGATCTTTTGGACAGTCAGGCTGTTACACACTTATAAGGGTTCACCATGGAGATAGGAAAAGTCACCTACCATTGAACATGCTGTTGGCGATGGCACCACAAGGAACAATGGGGGTCTTATTGTGGGACACTTTGAATGGAGCACAGTCCTTCACATCCTGAATGCAAGACCATACAGAAATGAGAAATGGTTTTGGTTAACACTCTTAGAATGTGAAAGTGAGAACACTGGGAATGTAAATCAACCCACACTGATTTATTGGCATGGACCACGGTTAAGGACTGCTACATTTTCCCAGGCTTCTGGCTCAGTTAGACTAGGAAATTTGTGTGTTTTGGAGATATGTATGTATGTGTGTCTTTTCCTCATTAGTAATACATAGCACAGTAAAAATGTCCACAGGAAGGAACCTTCCCTTGCTGGCTGTGCTGTATATCACACTAGGCCTATAGTGGAATACATTTTTGAAATCTTTTTATTGAAGTATAAGTTATATTCAGATAAGTACATAAATCATGAGTCTACATTTAGATGACTTATCACAGGGAATCCATCCAGGCAACCAAATACATTTTTTTTTTTTGAGTTGGTATCTCACCCGGTCGCCCAGACTGGAGTGCAGTGGCCGCTCCTGGCCACCGCAGCCTCTGCTGGGCTCCAGTGATCCTTCCGCCTCAGCCTTCCAAGTAGCCGGAATTACAGGTGTGCTACCACACCCGGCTAATTTTTTGATTTTATTGTAGAGATGAGGTCTCGCCTGCCCAGGCGGGTCTCGAACCCGCGGGCTCAGGCAATTCACTCACCTCACCTCCCAAAGGCGCAGGATTACAGGCTGAGCCACCAAGCCCGGCTTCAAATACATTTTTTTTAAAGTGAGATTGTTAAAAATCATTTGGTTATCACTTTCATATAATAACAGCCATGTGGAAAAGGTTTTTCTCTAGTTTTTCTTGCTATTAGCCTGAATATCATCTGTCAAGGGTAAAAAATGTGTAATCCTAGATATGAAAAAGCATTCTATTAAACCAAAGGCTTTTATTCAATCAAACAGAGACCAACTTCCTTAACATAGGCTTGTTTAAATGCCCCAATTACAGAAAGGACAATAGTAGATATAGAGTGAGCCAGACTGAGACCAACAACTCAAGGCTACTATCAAAATGGCATCTGGAAGGATCACCACTTGGACAAGATTCAGATTATTGTCTAAAGAGGGAAAGTGTTCCTTCTCAATAACAGCTATCCTGAATCCTCACCCCCTTCAATTTATGCAAGAGTGAAATAAGCATTTCTGCTTTGTAAAATCTTAGCTTTTGAGTATTTTTGCTTCCTCTCTCTTTTTTTTTTTTGAGTTGGAGTCTCACTCTGTCGCCCAGACTGGAGTGCAGTGGCCGCTCCCGGCCACCGCAGCTTCGAGCTGCTGGGCTCTGGCGATCCTTCTGCCTCAGCCTTCTGAGTAGCAGGAATTACAGGCGTGCGCTACCATGCCCAGCTAATTTATTTATTTATTTATTGTAGAGATGAGGTCTCGCCTGCCCAGGCGGGTCTCGAACCCGCGGGCTCAGGCAATCCACTCACCTCAGCCTCCCCAAGCGAGGGATTGCAGGCTGAGCCACCAAGCCCGGCTGCTTCCTCTCTTTTTAACTGAAAGTTCCATCTGGCTTGAGAAAAGAAACAAAACAAACAAAAAAAGAGAAAATAAAAAAGAGCACACCAAATTCAAACAAGTCTTACTGTTACATCTTTGCCCACCAGCTGCCTGTTACTTCTGGATAAAATAGATCGATAGAGATTCTGATAGAAGTCATACAATTTGTAGTACACATGAAAATTACCCTGCATGGGAGAAAAACAAGAATAAGAGTTGAGGGAGGAAAATGAACTGGAATGTTAATAAACATGGACAAGAGCCGGGCTCGGTGGCTCAGCCTGTAATCCTGCGCTTTGGGAGGCTGAGGTGAGTGGATAGCCTGAGCCTGCGCGTTCGAGACCCGCCTGGGCAGCGAGACCTCATCTCTACAATAAATCAAAAAATCAGCCGGGCGTGGTAGCGCATGCCTGTAATTCCGGCTACTGGGAAGGCTGAGGCGGAAGGATCGCTGGAGCCCAGCGGGTCGAGGCTGCGGTGGCCGGGAGCGGCCGCTGCACTCCAGTCTGGGTGACAGAGTGAGACTCCAACTCAAAAAACAAACAAACAAACAAACAAAAAAAACATGGACAAGAATTTTCTAAAGAACAGACAAAAAGGGGAACTGAAAGTTTCTTTATGGGAAATAGAAACCCAAAAAATCATTAAAAAAAAAAAAACAATGTTGGGAAATCCTGGTTGATACAGAATTATTGAAATGACTAACATATTTTAATATTGTGTTCTTGCCTCAAATAATTTTTTTATAATCAGGCCTTTTATTTTCAGTATAAAATTTGGTTTTATAAATATTGTCATTTCCCAGAAATTCCAGGAAATATGCTCTGTCTAGGGATTGCCTAGGGGCTGCCTAGGGCTTGTGGTAGTTCTAAAAGTTATTGAGAGCAGATTCGAGGTGCAGGGGCACTTGGCCATGTGAAAGGCATGAGACTAGGTGCTTCCTGCAGTCAGGCTTCAGTTATTTTTGTCCATTTACCCCCAAGATCTAGCTCAGTCCCTGCACATAATACTTGCTCAAGAAATGACAAACCATTTGTTATGGACAAAAATAAAAAACTCACTGATTCAAAAAAATGTGATTATCACCATAGCAATAAATAGATTTGTTGCCATGAGAGATAGGCCTTTCATGTTAACTGCTGTGTGAAGCTGCCCATTCACAGGCTGCGATCGTGGTTCTACCTGTATGGTGACATACTAAGGCCCTGGAAATTATTCAGGCAGACTTCATACAGACTTTAGCAACAGCATGTATGAAAATACCCATGTGAATTCAACTGACATATCCATAGAGTTTTACTAACAGCACATATAGAAATGTCCAATGTGGCTGTTTATAATTAATATACATATCTCCAAAATAATGAAGGCCTAACTTTTATTAAGTGCCTTCCATGTGTTAGGTGCCATATGCAATGCTAGAAATACAAAAACGTTTCCTTCACAAGCCCCTGAGTCCATTGACTGTTCTACCCTATGCAAAAACAGCATTTTGGAAAGCTTTTGGTCTCACATTCTAAGGATCTTAAAGAGAATGAGTATGGAAAATCGGAGTTGGTACCCACAGTAAGTTGGGGTGGAAAGTCATGGTAAATGCAGCCAGTTACAGAATGTAAGAAAGGCTGAAGAACTTAAGTCACTTGTGAGAGAATCATCTCTGGAACACTGAAAAGGGGAGGTACAGGGTTGGTCACAGAGGCAGCTGCAGCATAATCAACTGAGAGCATTGGCGTGAAGGCAAACAGGCCAGGCTTGGTGGGAATGACCCATTAAGTTTCCTCACCCAAGAGCGAGCCTCTAGTGTTGACCCGTGCCTATAGAAAATATGAAATCCACAGAATGAAATTTACCATACATTTTCTTAGAAGCGTAAAAGAGAATTCTACTTAACCAGAGTTATATGTTCACATAAATGACAAAATAAACAGGCAGAAAACACTCGTCACACGAGGAACTGAGGTGTTTTAATAAACTCTTTTCAATGATTCTTTGTCCAGGATTTAGCTTAACAAGGCCTCCAAGATCATCATCTTTTTGATTACTCCTGGAGGCACAATTCACTTTATGGTGTTTCTTCTCTTTAAATTCAGTGGCACTTGGTGCAGGCTTCCTGTGTTTTAGGCAGTCTCGCGTGGTCTCATCGCCTGGGTTCCGCACGTGTAGTGTGTGTTAACTGGAGAGGGAAGGCTGGCTTTTTATGAGAAGCCTCTGCCTGAAAGGAATGGTTAACAGCTGGTAACACTTCGTTTACGGTTAGGGTTTCGAAGGACACAGACAGCTGGGAATTGGAGTCCTTTAAGGTTTTATCGGCTGGATTCTTTTTTTTTCCCCCCAAAACTGAAGCATTCTGAGCCTTCAGGAAGGAAGGAAGGAAGGAAGGAGGGAGGGAGGAGAGAAGGAAGAGGGGAAGGACACAGGTAGGAAGAGGTGGGGAAAGGAGGGAGGGAAGGAAGGAGGGAGAGTAGGAGGTAAGAGGAGAGGGGGCAGGGAGGGGGAAAATGGCGTAGTAAGAGGGTGGGAAGGGAGGAAGAACAGAGGGTAGGAAGAAAACGAGAAGGGAGAGAGGGGGAAAGAAGGAGGAAAAATATGAGATAGGAAGAAGAGGGGAGGGAGGGAGGAAGAACAGGAGGCACGAAGAAAAGAGGAAGGGAGAGTGGTCTTAGAGTGCAATGCATTCTCTTTCTTTCTTTTTTTTTTTTGAGTTGGAGTCTCACTCTGTTGCCCAGGATGGAGTGCAGTGGCACACGCACGGCCACCCCAGAGTCCACTTGCCAGGCTCTGGCGATCCTTCCGCCTCAGCCTTCCTTCCAAGGAGCCGGAACTACAGGCTCACGCTACCATGCCTAGCTAATTTTTGATTTTTTGCAGAGACAAGGTCTCGCCAAGTTGCCCGGACGGGTTTCGAACCCGTGGGCTCAGGCAATCCACTCGCCTCGGCCTCCCAAAGCACGGGGATTATAGGCTGAGCCACCGAGCCTGGCCCTTGCAATGCATTCTTAAAGTTTCAGCGGGACCGACAGGAAATCCTGAAGACAGCTCTGGGAAGAGGCCCCAGCCACCTCAGTATCCCTGCTGTGCTCAGCCGCTGGCTGGGGTGGCCACGGGAGGCGTGGCCTTGGTGCAAACACACAGTGGTTTCAGAGCGCAGCAGCCGGGGCCATTCCTCATTTATACTCCCTGCGGTAAGTGTGAGGAGCCTTTTCATGGGCTCCACAGTCTTACCTGGTAGTCAAGACTTAATCAAGTGAAAAATGAATTTCCTTCAACTCAGTTGTACTTCAAGGTCCCGTTCTGTCCTCTGGACTCTGAGCCTCTCTCCCCACAGCGTCCTCCACGCCGACCTTCCCATCCTTAAATGACTCCACATGGGGTGAATCTAGAGGCTGGCCTTCTCTTGAGCATTCGAGGCCCTGCTTCCACCTCAAACTCAGCTGGTCCCAAACCAGACTCATTATCATCTGAAAAATACTCCTCACTTCTCCCTTTCCCTCCCTCCTTCCTTCCCAAGGGTCAGAGTTGTTTTGCAGTCTGACAGCTCCCCCAGCCTCCTCCTGCTCCCTCCCCATTACGCCCACAGGTGTCCCATGCCCTCCCACCCACACTCTCTCATGTGTCTAACCCTGTCTTTGCATCTGCTTTGCAGAGTGCTTGATGAGCATGCGACTTTAATCAGAATCCCAAGAGTAGGGACTTCTCTTAATGTTCCTTTGGCATTTTTCATAGTACCTGGCAGCCAGACTGAGTCTCCTTGGGGATTAAGCAACTGCACGTGTAGAATAACTGAAGGGGACCCAAGGAGGGTCCCACCAGCTGTGTGACCCCTGACACTAACTTACTGTGTGACCTTGGCAAAGTCACTTAACCTCTCAGCCCATTACTTTTCTCACTATAAAATAAGTGCTTACATTCAATGATCTCTTCTGTTCCTTCCTGTACTGAAGTAAAACCTGTTCGACTGATGATAAGATTTAAAAGTCGAGAAGGTAAAGAATCTTGCAACTTCAAAGAAACAGGATAATAATACTCAAAAAGGAGGCAGCAGGCAGGGGGCGGGCCTGAACTCAACAATTTGTAAGCTTCGCCAACCCCACCTTGCTTTATTTTTTATGTTTTGGAAAGCGTTTGATGGAAATTGTGAATTTACTGCTGAGTGTTATATGGGAATAGGTCAGCATAAAACCAATTGGAATCTCTTGTATTTTACTTACCTCCATTTTCTTCGGAAGGTAAAAAGGGCATAGAGCAGGTGCATACTTTGTCAAAATTAAAGGCATTTTCCAGCAGTTTTGCACAATTTGCACATATACTTGTGTAATTAATCTGTCAGGCAGGGACAAAAACAATGATTAATTTAAAAGCTACATGAGTGCATCTCTTATAGTTCAAGTCTAGAGTCCTCCATTCTATTGTATGGAAAATATTTACACTAATGAATTATTCTCTATGGTGTCCAAAGGAAGTTATTAAAAACTGGCCAGGCATGGTGGTTCAAATCTGTGATCCCAGCACTTTGGGAGACTGAGGCAAGAGGATTGCCTGAGTCCAGGGGTTCAAGACCAGCCTAGGCAACTTGGTGAGACCTCATCTCTACAATAAATAAAAAAATTAGC